CTGAGTGTGGACTCTGTCTGATTGAGATAAAAGGTTGTCTCAGCTGATAATGTTAGCAAACTATTATACTATTTCTACTCAGCTTTAACAGGGGGATAGGATATATAAATTTTCCCCATGGGTTAGACAGCTAACTGTTACCTAGATGTAGCTTGTTAGAAATTTGGATTCCTGGATTTTATATCAAGTTCTGAGATTTGAAGCATATCTAGGGAAGCGATTTTCAATCTTTTTCAATTAGCAAACAGTAAGAACAAAAAACAATGAGTAGAAGAATAGCTGCCAATGCAGTGCATCTAAGTCCACAAGCTCACTTTTCCCAGTTACATTAAAAGCAGTTTCCTTAAAAATAAACTAGGTATTTTATAAGCATAAATTAAAATTTACTTGATGTTAGAGAAGGCAGCATGAAAATAAAGGGCTTTGGATTTATTTGCTTGTTAGCAATGATGTGACTTCCGTATATGAGTCTGAAAAGTGCATATGTGGAAGCTGCCTTATTAGCTAGGTACTGTAACTAACCATTGCTGGTGTATTAAGGAGGTTCCAAATGCAGCTCTGTTGTTAAAACTGCATTCTCATGGATGCTGACATGGAAGAAAGATGCTGCTTTCTTCTGTACAAAGAAGTTCTCTATTTGTGTGAAGTTTCACACTGTTCAGCCTCATACCATTTAGGTTTTCTGTGTAGGTTTTGTTTGTATTCTTTTCGTAAGTGTTCAGCAGGATGTGTTTGAAATTGTCTCAGGTTGAAGGTTATTATATAATCATAGAATGGTTTGGGTTGGAAGGAACCTTAAAGATCATCTAGTTCCAACTCCTCTGCCACTGGGCCTGGATGCCACCCTCTTGATCAGGTTGCTCAGAGCCCTGTCCAACCTGGCCTTGAACACTTCCAGGGACAGGACAGGGCTTGCAAGAAGCAGCCATGGTTGACAAAGAGGGGTTCTCCTGCTGCAGGGATAAGGACCAGTGGAAAAAGGTCCTTTACAAGCATCTGCTATGGAATGAATTTTCAGGTAGAGTTTTGAACTTGAAATTATCAAACATGCTTTGGGTGGGCATCTTCCACCAAAATGTCCCACAGCAGAAGACAGGAAAAAACCCAAGTCTATGATAAGCTTTGGTATCAGACCAGCTCAGTCAGCCTTGCCAGGAGTTACTGGGCCATTTCCAGGACTTGTGACATTTGAGCTGCTTCTGAAAGCACTAGACCATAGGGTCCCTGTGATGCGGTGAGATGCTTCCTTTTCACTAGAAGTGAATTTCTGACTCTTACAGTGGAAGAGGCACCATTAAAAGCGTAGCTATAGATGCCTCAAGAAGTTAAACAAAAGTTATTTTGTATTTATTTTATATACATGTATATAAATATACATATATACAAAATTATGTCTGGTGTTATATACAAATTACATGATTTCCAGTCAATCTTGTGATTTTTGTGTGTACTTGCTTCATGATTTTCAAGTATGAGGGGCTAAAATACAGTCTCTAACAAACTTCCTTTGCTTCACTGCAGACAGCTCCTGAATCAAGTAAGTTAACTGTCCTCGGGATATTCCCAGCTTTCTTCCAAAGGAGAGAAGAATTCATGTACAGACTGTTTACTATGCATATCTTCTTTAACCACTACTTGTTTAGTGAGCTGATCCTTCTCTTAATATTTTAAAGTATTTTCCTTTCGATACAAACATCATTGTGTAGATTTACTAGATTATAGTTTTCAGGATCCTTTAAAACATTGATGCCATGTTTGCTGTTCTTTCATTTTTGCCACTCCCCACTGTTTTTGAGAACTGACCGTGTGTCCAGTAAATTCATCCACTACATAAGTTAACACTTTCAGATGTGTACTATCTATACTTGCCTGCAGCTCATTAAAGAGTGTATTTATTTTTAAAGAAGTTGTCATCATCTCAGAACGTTCAAACTTTTCTTTATTTTTCTTGTCAGAGTAATCACAAAGAGGATTTCTTTAGTTAGTGTTGCATAAACTCTTACGATATTTTCCTCATTTGGAGACAGACTGTGGTGCTCTTTTTAGTTTTATCACATAACATTTTCACACTGAGAACTCCCATTGATTATGCAGGATTATTAAAGGAACGTAATACTAGTTGAAATGGTGGAAATAGCTCTTTCATGCAAGTATTTCTTTCTGCAAGAAACAGAAGTTCTTGAAAGTTGCAAAAGTTTTGCTGTAGTTCTACGATCAGTTATGGAGACTTACGCAGGAATGTCAGATTGAAGATCTCTAGGCTGTATAAAGTGTGATATAAATGAGATGATCATGCTAGTTTCTAAATCATTCTTTTAAGATTATTTTACCAGGATGAAAATCCATTTTGTTTTCTTTTGACACATCTATCTGTTGATTCTTAGCCTGTCGTTCACCTCTGACAGCGAACGTACATTAGTAATTTCCTTTGATTCCAGTCAATTTAACATCTGGGACTTCATCTATCAATTTACTCTTTCAATCTTATCACCTAAACTTTGATAGAGAAAGAAAATTCTGATGCATGGAAGATTTCAGAATTTTGGAATCCAGTTTTGTTCCAATTTTGAGCACAAGCCTATCCCTGCATCACATCCCAGGCCTGTCTGTCTCATAGGCAGCAGACCCTGGAAACCTGAGGCCTTTGACTTCAGGATAGTTGCCAGGCAGTTTTGCTGCAGTGTTGTGAAAATTGAATTGCTTTTACAGACTGTTTGGATTTCGACAAATTGACTTTCGCTTATGGAAAATGTTCTTTTGGAGGATTTTCTGCCTATTCTATTAATACTGCAAGGGAAAATAGAAAATGAAACAAAAGGAAATGTTTTAAGTCTCTGATGAGTGAAAGCATTTGATTTCATGACATCACTTCTGCACAGGCTTTCCTTAAGATACACATGCACTGGCAGAAAATGTGGCCCACTGGTTTTCATGAGCTGTTGTGAAAATATTTGTTAATGACTAAAAATTGTAGGAGCAAAATTGATTTAGTCTAGCCTGACTCATTGCTACATTTTTACTCTTCCTCTGTGACCTTAAACTGCATATGACTTTCTGTAGAATTAATGCTTAACTGAGGAAAAATTGAGTGAATACCTCAGTATTTGGTATGTTTATAGCATACCTTAATAAAATGCCCAGCTGTTAGGTGATTGATGAATAGCTTGGAGAATGGGTTATTAATGAGTTGCATTTGGTTTTGCACCCCACTTAACCAAGACAGAGATTAAGAGAGAGCAGGCTATAATAAAACATCAGGCTAAGAGAATTCCTCTCGTGAAACTAAAATCAGGGTAGCAGAGAAGTGGGAGTAAGACCTGAGAGCTGTCAGCCACCCTTTCTTTGCTGAGACCTCTCATACAGCCCCCTCAGTGCTCTGATGGAGCATCAGGGCTGATTTGGGAAGATTTTAAATCCTCCTGGACGCACACTGAGCAGGTGTTGCTCATCTCCAGTTGGGGCTAAGGAGAAACAGGCATAAAGGGAAAGGAGATTCTGGGTTTTACCCCACATCTTTCTGATCTTGTGGCATTTTGATTTTTTGAACTACCTGGGAACACCTGATGTGTTATGGATCATTGGGAGTCAACTGAGTGAGATCAGTAGACAAGGGAGTCCTGCTGGCAGTGAATAGGAGCGTGTGGGGGCTGGCAGGGCCTCAGAGGGTGGATTGTACTATGGGGCATTGCAAGCATGTGCAGTGCCTTCCATCACCCACCGCGGTGGTTGTTAGCGATCATGGTGTTGTTTACATGGTGCCCCAAGGGTGTGAGGTGCAACAAATGTAACATCCCAGAGACCTCAAGGGGAATCTACTGGAGAGTGAAGTGCTGAGGAAGGGGGGAGAGAGAGTAGGAGAGGGAAAGAGAAACAAGCCAGAAGCCACAAAAATGACATACAAAAAAAAAATTGCTTTTATTTCTCATGTGCACAAAAAGAGAAAAGAAAATGGTCAAACAGAACTGAAGTGATGAGGAAAAGCCAAGAGGGGCTGCAGCAGCCTAGAATGGATGTGACCCTGCACCTGGCACTGGCCCCCTCCCCTCCACGGTCTCATGTCTAGCTTAGCCTGGAGATCATCAGCAGAGCTGCTCTATGGTTAGATTTGTCATCAGTTCTGTAATTGTCAGTTTGGTCCCTCCTTCCTGCTTTGCAAGTTTGCCACTGTCCTGGGCCCAGTCAAGGAAGCACACTGTGGTATTTGTGGGTCCCTCAGAAGCCCTCACTCTGTCAGTGCCAAAGGGGGCAGCTCAGCTACGATTCTTATTTCTTTGCCCAGAGGGGTGCTTTTCCTTAGGGACAAAAGGGTGGGTTTTTTCCAACAGTTCAGCAAACTAAAAATTCCTTTAGGAAAATGTTAATATGCATATATAAGTATATACTCAAGAGAAGAAAGAGGTGCAGGGTTTCTTTGTTTTCCTTTTCTTGTTTGTTTAACGTCCTCACATTCATGTTGTGATTAATTCTGCAGTTGTACTCTGAGGTTGATTCATCGCTACCGATGGGTCAGAAAGCATGCAAACTTCTGTTACCACAGCAGGGCTCATTGCCACCAACCCTCCCCAACAGATTTACAGGCCACACCAGTGTCAGCTTTAATGCATCCACCTCATGCAACCCCTTCCTGTGTCTTGCCCCACATCCTGTTGGGCCAAAAGGACATGGGAGCTTCAGAGAACAGGACTCAAAAGTGCTGCCAGTTTTAAATACCACGGTCCCTGTTGCCAAGCATGGCATTCGAGAACTCACGAGATTCTTCCCCCATGATCAAGTTGAGACAGAAGGAGATCCAGGTTCACGTTTCTGCTTGGTCCATTAGATAAAGCAAACATAGCAGCAAAACTAAGAATGATAGGAGAAGGAGGAAGTGAAGGGAGAGCTAAGAAGAATAATAAAGAAACAAAGGATGAGTTGTGAAAAAAAGGAAAATAGAGAAACGTAATGGAAACATTAATTATTATTCACAATAATACTTAACAGTTTGATAGAATTTTCTATCCAGAATCTCAAAGCACTGAGGCAGTGCTAATTGATTCAGCTGCGTAATCCCCCTGTGAACTAGAAACTATTGTTATTCCCATTTTATACAGAGGGTTGGAACTGAGGTAGAGGGGGAAATTGGATTTGACAAAGGTTTTCTAGAGCGATAGAGAGAACTGGGGAGTTTGAGGTCCCAGATACCCGCTCCCATATCGATAATGCTGTTCCCTCCCTGGATAGAAAAGTGCATTGGGAATGAGAAATAATAAAAGAGAGGGATAGAAATTGAATGGAAAGAAGGTGTGAGAAAGAAATATGGGAAAGGTAAGACACAGCAGAATTGAGGAGAGGTTTGAGTCAGACTTCACTGGATTTTGCATAATGATTTCTTCCTCCAATCCTTTTTCATTTTTTTTCCTGTAAAATTTTTTAAAGGAAAATAAAAATAAAAGAAAAAAAATTCCACCTATACAGAAGCAACTGTTGGCCTGTTGGGGAAAGGGGTCCTTCCAAGGTTTGGCTGTTCCCTCAGGTTCTGAATTTGTGCTGTGCTTTATTGAACACATCGTTTTGTTTTCAGTGAGCACAACGAGACTTGCACAGTACACACAGCGTGTTCCTTATCTACAGGATGAGACGAGGCTGTTTTAATAACTACCATGATGAAGATGGAGATGAACTTATATACAAGAGGAATTGCCTTCACATTACACACATTATCTTCCTACAAAGCAGCAATTGTTTTTTGCAAATAACATAATATTAAATAATTGGTAGAATTTTTGCGTTTCCTGCATAGTCCAGTCTAATGGAATCTATATGAATATTGATGGTTTTCTTCTGCATAATATCACCACATAAATCCCCACGTCAGCTACTAGACTTGGGCTATAATACTGCTTTACAATGCATCCACCGACTGTAAATCAAAACAACCAACACAAGAAACTCTTTGGCAAATGTAATTCAGTACATTCGCATGAGGGTCTACAGATGGTGGTGGAAGAGGATTAGACTGCCCAGTTTTTTTGCATAATTCTGCTTTCCTTTTAATTTTTCAAGTCAAACTACATGCTGTACTTATGAACTTTCCAAACCAATCCAATGCCTGGTGGAAATCCTCTTTCATCAGTGGAGTTAAACCAACAACAGATTTGGCCCTCCAAGGGTCAAATGAAGCCAGCCATGAGTGAGCCAACTAAATCCTGCTTTCAGACCCTAGCTCATGTCTCAAGTTTAGCAAAACACCATTATAAAAATAAGCATTTCTGAGCTGCTAGCTTTTCTCAAGCTGGCCCCTGGGCTGCAGGTGGCCAAGTGGGAGGTGTGAGAGTCTCTTTTCTTTAGTCTCCTCAGGACCTTCTCTGTGTTGGTCCTGGGATTTATTGCCTCTGCCCTGACCACCTGCTGAGTGAATCTGGGTGGTGCACAAATAGAGCAAAGGTTGTACTGAGAGACTAAAAGTGAGACACTACTAACAGGGTTCAGCATCTATCTGATGTCTGTGAAGGAAAACAGGAGGAGTGGTGAAAGTATATTTTTAGAAATTGCACAGAATTTTCTTCTCTCAAAGAATAAGATGGGATAACAGGCCAAATTCTGGTCTCAGTGATAGTGTAATAACTCTGCTATTTGCAGCGGGTTACTCAGAGGTAAGATGTGCAGAATGACACTTTTAACAGATCAGGAATAACCTCTTTGATTTTATTCTGCATAGGAACAGATTTTAGCTCTATATCTTCTATGTAAACATCCCCCCAAATTCCCTTATCATTTGGGCACCCCATTAAAGAAGACACGGACATATAATCAGCTAAATCCATGCAAAGGCTAAAAGAGTGAGGTGAAAGGGGCCTTTGGGATCAACACAGCTGTTTACTGATGGTGGATTTCATACATACAAGTTTAACTTGGAGACAGAATAGAGTCCACTACCACATCTCCTCAGAGGCTTTGAACTTTGGATTTTATACATGATGTTGGCTGTACAGATTGCTCCACTGTTCATTTCTATGCCCTTTGGGGGTTTTATTCTCAATCCTGTCTTTGTCCACGGACAATAGCCCATGAGTTTTATCTGAAACCTCTCTAAAACAACAAGGATCTACTTTGGCAGACTTGATGCCCTGGGGGCAGGCTAGAGCTGCCTTCATGTTTTCTTTGAGTAATTTTTTAGGAAGTGTCAGTGCAAGGAACAGTTTATGAGTTTGCTGACAATACAGAAGTAATAAGCATTTCTATTGACAGTTAGCCTTTTGCAGAACAGTGTTTGTCAGTCACTTGGGAACCAAAAAGAGCAGAGAATCCCTAGAGAATCATCAGGTGAGCATTTGGGATAAGGGGTAAATATTAGGATGCACAATATAGGATTGAACATGAAAAGATGGGGCTGTATGTTGGAACTGGCTGGTAGGATGCAGGCATATGTATTTGAGTGGGGCCTATAAATTACTAGGTGTATGAGCAGATGGACTGGGAATCAAAGGGGGGCCCATATAGCAGGGCTATAGTGATTAGGAAATTAGGTGTTGGGCACAGATAATGAGGCTGTTGTCACCGGCAGCAGAGAATGGGTGTTGGGCATATCTAAAATTGCAAAAGTTGGGATGTGGGTGAACTGAAGTCGTCATGAGTAGAGGTTAAGGTAAAAGGACTGAAGGCTAGGGGCTAGGGAACCAAGCAATAATCCCAGCCAATCCTGAATTTGTCCATCTCAGTCTCAGCTGTCCAGAGGGCAATCAGATGGGCCCAGATGAAGCCCCACACTTTCCACCACACAGCGCAGTTAGAGCGCAGCTGGGCTTGTTTTCTTTGTTTGCCAACCAGTGACATGGAAAACGTTTGTTGACTCAGAGTGCTTTTTTTGTCGACTGATGTGTTTGGTAACTTTGTCAGATGTGACTTGTCCACACTGCTCCCCAGAGACAGGATTTTGGGAAAGGGGGAGGAGGAGGAGGCTCCCGGGTGGAGCTGGCATCCAATCCTCTCCAATACCACCATCCCACTGTAGTGCAAAACAGAAAGGAAACAAAACCCTAGAGTGAAAGAGGAGCATCAAACGTCAGAGGAACTTGTCTGCCATTCAGGTGGTGGGGAGGGATGGGACTTGGAGTTTTATTTTTGTAGGGTTTTTAATTATTATTTTGGTTTTTTTGTTGGTTTTGTTCACTTGGGTTTTTTAGAAAATTGGGGATTTTTTTGTTCCTTTTTACAGACCTTCATGACAAAGCATAAAAACACAGTTATATTTATATATCTATTTATATATTTCTTCATTTCGTCGGTTTGTTTGTAAATGTTGCTCCATCCTCCTGTCTGAGCTGATTGTGTGTCACAGAAATTGTGGGTGTATGTGTGAGGTTCCTCCCAATTCTGGCCTGCAAAGTCACCACCTGTGAGGTGCAGCCAACTCTGGGGGAATCTGTGCTGGAGAGTGGGGATGAGGTGCACAGAGAACCCCTCATGGGGTGCAGATCATTACTTGGTCCTTTCTTCGTTGCCAGATGGGCCAGGGCTCTGTACTGCCATCTCTGCTCTAGCCAGACTGTTCCCTCTGTCCTGGGAACAGGGTGACCATCACAGGTTACACACATCAAGAGTCCACCACAGAAGAGTATATCTTTGGGGAACAGTGTTTCATGAGCGGCATTCTCCCCTGTTTCCCTGGCCCTTACCGCTCCCAGAAAGGGGTCCTGTAAGGCAATGGTTGCCAGCTGCATTGCTTCCCAGTCCCCCTGGAGTTCTGGAAGCCGAGTGGACTTCATGTGGCTGAGCTTTACCCAGGGGCATTGGAGGGCTCCCACAGGAGAAGCCACTTGGCCGCAGGCTGTTCCCGGCGTGGGGGAAGCGGTCGGGGCGGAGGGCAGGGGGAGGGAGGGGGTCTCAGTCTCATGTGGTGAGCGCTTGGTCCGGCGCCTTCAAGGCGAAGAGGAAGGAACTGGACTGTGGGGAGGAACGGAGAAGGTCTCTTCACCCTTCCCAGGGATGAGGGAGGTGATCAGACAGGTACAATGTGGAGGCCTAAGCTGTCGCCCTGCAGTTTCATGTGGTTTCCATGGTAACTAGTGGCGGTCATAGGCAGCGGCAGCAGTGGGAGGTGCGGAGCCCCGGGATGTGGCACTATAATAATAAGGGGAACCTGAAAGTTAACACAGGAGAAGAATGGACTGGTTGAAAGGACAAACAGTAAACAAAAAAAACCAAACCAAACCAAAAAACACAAACAATCAAACTAAGAAAAGAAATACAGGAGAACAGAAAAGAAAAGGAAAGTTAGGAAGAAAGAAAAGCAAAAGAAACCAAAAGAACGAATTTGGGGACTGAGCTCCTAGAGGGATTAGGGAAAGGCAATCAGTGGAAGCCAGCTGAGGGTTGCATTTCAGTGGATAGATGCTACTGTGGCCTCTGGATCTGACAGCCCTCTATGGGAAGGAGATCCTTTTGCTTCTTCTGACCATCAGTAACTAAGCCCGTGAACTTTTGTGCTGGTTTGGGCTGAGGTAGGGTTAGTTTTCTTCACAGTGGCTGGTATGGGGTTGTGTTTTGGATTTGTGCTGAACACAGGGTTGATAACGACGTGTTTTCGTTATTGCTGAGCAGGGCTTACACAGAGCCACGGCCTTTTTTTCTTCTCGTACTGCCAAGCTGGCAAGGAACCTGGGGGTACGTGGGAGGCTGAGAGGCAACACAGCTAGAACAGATGACCCAAACTGGCCAGAGGAATATTCCATACCGTATGGTGTCATGCTTGGTATTTAAAGGGGGGATAAGAAGGAAGAAGTGGGGACGTTTGGAGTGATGGCATTTGTCTTCCCAACCATTACATGTGATGGGGCCCTGCGCTCCTGGAGATGGGTGAACACCTGCCTGCCCATGGGAAGCAGTGAATTAATTTCTTATTTTGCTTTGCTTGCATGCGTGGCTTTTGCTTTCCCTATTAAACTGTGTTTATCTCAACCCACAGCTAGTTTTCTAGCTTTTATCTTTCTGATTCTCTCCTCCATCCTGTTGGTGGGGGAGTGAATGAGCGGCTGCATGGGGCTTGGCTAATGCCTGGGGTTAAACCACAACATCGAAGCACAAATACGTCACACCTGATCTGTAACCACAAGGAAAGTGTCAGGGCCAGATGTTCTGAGCATACCTGACAAAGTATAATAGGTCACTCTTATAACCAGGAGGAGAGAAATGAAACAAAATTACAGTGTTTTACTGCTTGGAATTTGGGTCACATTTGACATGAAATCTCTCTAGATGGTTATCGAATGTGTGTTAAATAGTGATTGATTATTAAGATCACATTTACTGAGGTTTAACAACACTGGAATAAAATGTGCATTTATTATCCAGTTGTTAAACCTCAGTAAATATGTAGATAATAATCACAGCTGATTTATTTTACATATAATAAATATCTTCTTATTCCCTTGCAAAGAGGTGGTGTATTAGAAGATAGTCTCATAGGATTTTTTTTTCTCCTCTGAAAAAAAACCCTGATTATTTCTGGGCATATTAGTCACTGGAGATGGATATATATCACTGCAAGACAACTCTTCTGGCTATTGTAAACCTAATGATGCAGCCTGTCTCCCACTCTGGACACTATTCTAACTGGTTGAATAGGGAGAACTATGGGATTTACAGATCCCCAGGAATTGAGTCTGGGTTTAGCTGGGGAGAGGAGTGAAATGTTATCTGGATTTTTAATAAGGCCTTGAAAGGATGCTGATTACAGCCGGAGAGAGTAACAGAACCTGAATTTCATTTCTGATACAATCTGTAATAAACTGTGGATGCAGCTCACAGAGAAGCCAGAGCTGAACTTGAGTTCTGAACCGTCTCATGAAAGAGGAATTGGCTCCAGAACTGCTACAAAACATGCATGAAGTATATACCCACTTCAACACTGGACTGAGAGTGAGGGAAAAGGCCTATCACCTGCCCAAATACTTGAAAACCCTCTTCAGAAACAAACAAACAAACAAAACCAAAAAACAAAGAAAACGAATAGACAAACAGAAGGAGCGCGAGGCTGGGGGTGTGCTGTGGGAAAGAGGTACTCACTTAGTAACGCAGGGTTGCTGAACCGCCAGGCCTCGTTGTAGGTTGTGTACTGAGGGTGGCTATAGGGGTTCCCTGAGAACTCGCTCCCTGGAAGAAACGAAGGAAGGTGTGAAATACAGTTAGGAATGAAGACTTATGTCTGCTATTCCATCAAGCCAGTGTTGATGCTGAATCTGTACACCAGCAGGAAAACTAGGGTATGTAGCTTCCTTGCCCAGCTGGGACTCTGCCCTTCAGGACCCTGCAGGGCTTCTTCAGTGCAAAGTTCCTTACACATAACATTAAAAATCATAAGATTGACCTCTTCACAATCAAGAAATTAATTTAAAAGAATGAAATTCAGTAATAAAAAAAAAATAATTAAAGTGGTTTGTTTTTTCTTCCCTTATTTTCGTTGCCTTCTGACTTCCAAATCTCAAGTTGAAGTAGGATTGCATATGCAAGCTTTTTCTGCACTTAACTATCGGCTTTCTTATAAATAAATCTAAGGTTCTCCAGTAGTGTCAAGACGGCAGGTATGGCAGCTTGATGGGACAAGCTCACAATAAACTCGTTGGAACTAGCAGTGCTGTTGATGGCAATATGTATTGCTAAGTTTTCTTTGTAGGGTACTGAGGGTGATGGCATATTTGCTGAGAAGAGTATCATTCCTTTTTGGAAATGTTCTGAGTAGGCTGGACTTTAATGTAAAATAAAATGGAAAAACACATGAATCACTTTCTTACTCTGTATGATGGTATTAGTCAGAAAAATGATTCATACATGATTAACCCCCCTTTTATTCTTGGTGAGTTACAGAGAAAACTTACTGCATTCCAGCTCCAGAACATAGTTTTCTAATGATTAGTGCTTTAGGTACTGTGTTGAATCTGAAAGACAAGCTGTGCTGTGGCTCCACTTTTCACGTTTAATAAAATGGACCCAAACCAAAATACTTGCAAGCTTTGAGATCTAGTAAGACTCTGACCCAAGATTTGAATGTTGTAGAGTCTTCTTTAATATTCAGTTTTATTGTGCAGAAGGAACTGAGTCTCCCTTTTTAATAGAAGGCCAAGAAGTTATGGTGCTGCATTCAAAAAAAAAATAAATCTCCCCAAACTTAAACATGTATCATTCTATTAAAAAAAAGCATGACATTATTTGATCATAACTTCAATTTAATGCAGTACCAACAGACTAGGGACAATTAATGCCATCTGAAAGGCATTGTGCACTTAAAGGACAGTGGTAGAACAGTGTGGCTATTAGCTTCTGATGTGGCCCAAGGCAGGGGTAGAATTTTTACAGCAGAAGTGTTTGATAAACACCTGGCAGTCCCTGCTAGATACCATGGAACAGAAAAAGAAGGCAATTCAAGACACGATGGATGCCTGTGATGCAATTACCAAAGAATGTCAATTAATTATACCGTAATCTTTGCAAATCTCCCCTCACTGGAGTGTTAAAGCCAAAATCATAGATTCTCAGATGGTGGAAATGAAGGCTGTTGAAATCAGGGGATTTACACTGCTTTAAACTTGAGGAGAATCTTTCCAGCCAGGTTTAAAAGTAACTCAGGATAATAACCAAAGTAGTCGGTGCAAAAACGTGTATGCATCAAACCCCATCAACTTCCAAAGGTATTTTAGTCACAATAAATTTTAGTTTCCACATAAAACCTCATTTTGTGTGACAGATCTTCCTAACTACTGTTTTAATGATAATAAGTCAGCATAATTCCATAGCTAGAAACATCCTGCACTGAAAATCCTGACAACTAGCTGGGAAGGAATAGAAACCTGCTAAGATGACCAAGATGCAATGCAGAGTCCAGATTTATCTCTACTGAATTGACTTATCTGTGGAATATACTAGAATGTGTTTGCCTCCCAAAGAAGGAGAGAAACTATCCACATGGGAATTTCTGCTTTTGAAGTGCCTCATATAACATCATTTCACTGCATGGAGGGAAGTTGTTCTGATATTTCAAGACTTCTCTCTCACCACCTTCTGAGTTGACACCCTAAACTGTTTATAGTGTTCCTAAACATGGGTTAAGTACGGGAGAAAGAGTCACAGCTATGGAGCGCTGGGGAGGAGGGAGGGCAGCCACTGGAAACAGTGTTTATTGACGAGGAGTGAAAGCATGCATGCAGCAGGATAATGAGCTTTTGAGCTCAACTGTGACCAAGAGGAACTGAGCTATCGCCTTCCCCGATCACTAATGAAACAAGTGTAATTTCCTCATCAACATTGGATTCTGTTTAACGACTCCCTGCCGCTGCCATCCCCAGCCCTCTGCAGACTCCGCGCTGCTCTGTGTAAACAGCAGTTCCTTCAGCCGGTGCTCACTTTACTAAAACGGTTTGCTGAAACTTGGTGACCTTTCTGGGAAAGAGGAAGAATTGAGGCAGAGATCAAAGATGTTCTGTTACCTGTGTGGGAAACTTCTCTCAAATGTGTAGGTTAAGTGTAGCACAATACCCGAATCATCCTTCTTTGGGTGACTAACCCCTGCTTTTTCAAGTGTGTGCTCAGGACTACTGGCTTTCTTCCATGTCTGCAGCCAGGGACCTGAAGTTATGGGCAGGGGCAAATGCGGGATATGTGTCTTATCAGATCATCCACATAAACCTCAGAGATATTTGCATGCGCTGACCGTGTTGCATGGATGTACTGCAACAGGAGACAAGCTCTTCTGTAGACTATGCAAGTAGAAGTCTAGTGAAAGGTTGTCATGAGTAGAACATAGCAGATTTAATTAGCACTGCTCAAACAATCTTCTCAGAAACAGTTTTCCACTGGAAAATGCTGTCTCATTGAAATGGAAATGTCTTGCATGAGCTTGTCAGCTTCAATGGAGTTTTGGAAAGAAAAGTTCTGAAATTATTGCAAATTGAAACAAAGTATTATGTTTCAACTTTCTTGTTCTGTTTCATTTTGCCTTTCTCATCTCATTTAATTTCCTTTCAATTCTTTCATTATTTTAATATGTCTTGACATCTAGAACATGTTGACATTACTGAAATGTTTTATCCTGATGTTCGCAAATTGAACTGTTTCAAGATTCTGTCTCCTTGTACCAATGCAGGATGAAAACAAATATCAAAAAATCAGAATTTTGCATGGATTAGAAATCTGGTTTCTGAACAGTTGTGTGTTTAGATATGCACCTTTGTTTAGAGAATACAGAGCCTCTTTCTCTTATTCACTCATATCTAAACAATAGGTTTGTTTGTATGTCAGTAGGTTTCTTAAAGATACTTCCTGAGTGGTCATCTTGCTGGCTTCTTGTTTCCAGTGTAGTTAGAGCACTGGCCCCTGATCTTTCTTGGCCTGAGGGCATGTAACAAACCACTGGCAATATTGTATTTGTTTTCTCTGCTCAAACCGGACTCTTAACAGAGGTTGCAAGCAAGCACAGAGGATCGATCTCATGAGGCCTATATTCTGTGCAATCTGTGCTCTGGGAATCTTTACTAACAGTATTTCTTGGCATCTGTATTTAAATCTTGTTGGTTTAGTCTTCCAATACAGAAACGATGAGGCATGAAGTGAGCCTAGCAGGTGGCAGGTTTAGAACAAATACAGGAAATAGTTTTCACAAAATATGTAGTTAAGCTACAGAACTTCTTACCACGGGTTGCAGTAGATGTTAAAGGCTTATATGGGTTCAGGAGACATTGTTTAAGTTTGTGGAGGGAAAACCGATAGAGGGTGTTTAATATGAAATAGAAATATACTAAGTCTGGCTTAGGAAGTCTCTTAGCTGCAACTTGGAGGCTGGGAGATCTTTTGAGAAAGTACCAATACATTCTTGCTCTATTCTTAATGCTTCCTCAGACTTTTCCTGTTGGCCCCTGACACAGAGTAGTGGCTGCAGAGATCTGCAGTGTGACCCATTAAAACCAAGTCTTCTGTTTCTTCACAGGAAGCCTCTTTATCTCCATCTTGTTGGCTTTGGTCACATTAGAAGACAGGAATAGAAGGGCTTCCTGACTGGGTCTGACCAGTGGGGTATGACTGAAACAGCTGGAACTTGATGCTCTGTTGAAAGATGCAGTAACTACTGCAGGGTGCCCAAGCAGGCCACTGGAAGAACTTCCTCTGATTGAATGTTGACATTAGATTTAATGTAAATATATCCATTTGACTGGAGTATTTTTTTTTTTTTTACTTTGAACTATAACAACTTTTTTTTTCTCTATAATTCTGCTCCTTTTCTTTTTGGGAGTATTTCTGTGGGTTTTTGGGACACTACTGTGTTATAGATAAGCGACCTCCACATCAAGGAGCTAAAATACCCTTTTTTTGGATAAGTGACCCCTGTGATTAGTGGTCTTAAAATCTTTGTCCCAGTTTAGAAGTCAGTATCATCCTTGTGATGAGGACATTAAACTTACATAGCAACCACTGAACAGTTGAGAACAGTTAGAAGTTGAGAAGAGCCTGGTTTTTTAGAAGTCTCTACTCAAAGAGCCAGTTAGTTTGGTATTATTAATAATTTCTATACACCATGACCTCCTGTAAATTTTGACCTTTAACTGATTTAAATATTGTCAACTGAATCTACCTACTGTTACTGGTGTGTGTTTATGGGAGTGTGGTGTGTTAATTGATATATATTGTCTTAGTGCTTCTCTGATTCTGGAGCCAAACCATCTAGAAGGATGTAGGAGATGCCCTAAAATTTGCCACTGGAACATGTTGCCCAGAATACTTGTGGATGCCCCATTCCTGGAAGTGTTCAAGGCCAGGCTGGATGGGGCTCTGTACAACCTGATCTAGTTAAAGGTGTCCCTGTTCATGACAATGGTGTTGGAACTAGATGATCTTAAAGGTCCCTTCCAACTAAAGCCACTCTATGATTCTATAATTTATCATTTAAAGACTTTGACCTGAAAACATTTCCTATCAGTGATATTTTCACTATCCTCACTGCAGTTATGTTCATTCAGCTAGCTGTTCCAAAATCTGAATGAGGGTTAAGTTAGGCTTCCCACTCATAAGCCCTGGCAAATCATATGATAGTAATAGAAGAGCTTTCCGTCCTCAGCTTTGTGCTGCTTTGGTTCTGGACTCATCCCTTCAGAAGCAGAGGTTGCAGAATGGACTGTGTACCTGCTCCTTAACCACCAGAACTCACAACCCTGGGCTGTAACAAAAGCAGAAATCAGTGGCAGATAAGTTCTCTATTCTGAGCTACTGTGTCTGAGAAATGAAAATCTTGTCTCTTTGTTTATCTCCTGGGGAAAACTGTCATCAGAGGAGTGGGGAATAGACCCTGAGGTAAGAAACTCTTCAGTTGCCCTGAAGTAAATGGTCCTCTCTTCTCCCTAAAGGGTGGGAGAATCCATAGGCTGAGATAAGGTATTTCTCCAAAGGCATTGGGTAACAAAGAAAGAGTTTGCCTTTGGATGTAGGATTAGGTAGATAGTTTCTTGGGTTGGAGGCACAATCTTACAAACAGAAGGCAGGTAAGTAGTTGGTTGTTAAAAGTGCATAACTGGTTTCTCCTGAAATGCTGTTAATCATTGCTGAGTTCTTAGCTAGTTTATGCTATAGACAGTAGGTCTCCAAAAACTGCAGGTATTAAATTACCATTGATAACTTTCAGTTTGATGACATGGCTTTAGATAGAAGGTAAGTTGTTCCCCTAAGTTAGTGGATAGGTGAATATCCTGAGCCATAAGCAGTGCATAATAACCTGCATAGGTCATTGGAAAATAATTATGTTAGTTAATGAATACTAGGTTAATTAATTACCAATTAATTGCCACAGGTTATAGCTAGCTAGTTGCCCATAGCAGCAGTTAATCAGTTACTAGGAGGAAAGAGCTACATTACAAAAAGGGTTTTTAGCAACATTGGTTATAGGCACCGGATGATTTCTTTATGAAAAGAATTGCTCTTAATGTCAGCAAAGCAATAGCCAAGCCAGATGTGAAAGCTCTTGCAAAGCTGGTATACCAAAGCTGGTATACTGTTCAAACATGTGTGCACCATTAGTGAGGTCTGGCAGCTGACTTACCAGGAACCATTCCTGCAAGAGTTGAGGTTGGGTAGCTGCCTTGTCCAGTTGGGGGAACATGGGGTGGGTAGCCAGGCAAGGTGGTGCTTGCCATATCACGACCTGGAAGGGGAAAGAATCAGGACAGGTGATCAATAGGGATAAGATCTTTCAATATTGATTTGATATCACCTTCTCTCCCAAATGACTAGCAGCTTGATAGCAACTCCTGTGCAGCCTTCTCTTACATAAATGCTGTCCATCCCCTGAAAATTCTGGGTGAAGATTGTGCACTTTTGATCTCACACTGTAAGGGTAGATGTTAAAACTTAGCTTTGTGAGGCTCAAAAGACTTTGTTTTGTTTCATTGTAGATTTTGGATCTGTTTTACTAAATCAAAATGGCCCTGATCTGCACAGAGAATGGCAGCATATTCATTGCCAAAGTAGCTGAGGTCCTGTCTATATGCAGTGGATGCAGTTCCAAAACTGTGGTGATGTTGCTTTAGGGCATGATCAATGTGCAAGGCATTGGAGAGTGATCCAAGAGTTTTCTGTGCCTGTCTCTCTTCTCACCTTTGTCATTCATCTGCTAATGGTTTTAGGCAAGTCACTTCACCTCTCTGTGCTTCTTTTTATGCTGCAAACTCTTTGGTGCAAGGCCACACTTTTAGTATGTTTGCACAGTGCTTAGCATGAGACCAATACTGGTTGGACTCCTTCCAAGTGTTGGTGTACTGTATATAATAATAGGATCATGCAAATTAGTTTGAGTCTCACTTCATTTTTATCACAGGTACAAGTTTTTGTTTGTAATATTTAAAGTTGTAATATCTTTTCACCATCAAAGAAGTAGAGAGGGGTGTGGACTGGGTGTTTGGTTGTAGTTTATTTTTCATCTCTCAGGAAGTGCATCTGGGGGCTTCTTGGTTGATGCCAGAGGCATTTCCTCATTTGGATGGGTTAGCCTGAAAATGGGCCAGCCAGAAGGGCATTTGCTGTTAGTGCTTATTGCATTTAAATGAACGAACATAATCTCAGAAGCTGCTGGGAGTTTCAAGCCAAAACAAAACAAAACAAAAAAAACCCAAACCAAAATAAAAAAGAAGTGCTAAATAAATTAAGATAATCTTTCCCCCGCAGCTGCTGAGAGATTTACAGCTCAACCTCCAACACTGCCTACTGAGATGTCAGCCTGATCCAGGCATCCAAAGCCTTTCACATTTCCTAGGTGAACTGTAGCTCACCAAGAAGTTTGTGCCATTTGTTGTTCCTTTGTTAAATTTTATCTCTCCTGTCTATTCTAACTGAAGGGCAGGAGTCTGATTTGCCTTTAGAAGTGACAGGTTAAGTGTAGCCCATTAACACCACTGGAGTCACTGGAACCTGCTGGGATACACCAATGAAAGAAGAAGAAGAGTTGGTTTAGCTCTAGTAGCAGCAAAATGATAACTGATAAAGCAGGCCCTGGAACAAGCATGAAACTTGGCTGAGAAATCAGAGATAAATAACAGTTATAAGGCAAAGCAAGAACTAAGAGGCACGGAGCTTAACCTGAAGGGAGGAAGTTCCTCTGGCATGAGGTAGGTTAAAACAGTGTCATTGCTTTCATAGGTCTTGACTAAAGATTACTGAGGTGATTTACTCAAGAAGGCAGAATTGCAACTTCATTCTTTCTCCCTCAAGAGGTTCCTGATCAGTGGCTGATGTTCCTAGCTCACCTCCTCTTAGATAATGGTATAGAACTACCAGGCAATGGCTGAGCCATTTTCCAGCCGCTCCCCAATATCGATAAAAATAAATATGTAGTGTCTCAGGGATTTATGTTCTACACTCTTTTACTCATTTATCACCATCATTCCTTTAGTGATTTGTAGCTGTGCATTAAGCTGTATGAATAACACCTACTATATGTAGTTATTTTTTTCTCACATTCTTTTAAGGCAAGAAATTTTCGTGCTTAAAATTCTTGTTCTTTTAGTTTCATTTATTGACTAGCCTGAGATATAACAACAGGTGATGAGTGAGAAAGCAGTGTCACTGAAAAGTTAAAGATAACATTATGTAGCGGCAGGCAAAATTAATTCATTTTGACACTTCCATTCAGTTGGGAACACATATACACTCACTCTGCTACTTTGACGTATGCACATATGCCCTTGTGTTTTTATTCAGACACGAGTGCAAGAGGCTGATGTTCAAAACTGAGCATGGAAAATTTGCTTGGAAGTGATCATCTGTCAAAATCCCAGTCTTGAAAAAGAAGATAACAAGTACTGTATCAGCAGCATCACTAAGAGTCCCACAGGGAGGCTCTTAAAATGCTGTTATATGTAAGCAGGCCCCTTCCATTACCTCTTCTCATTACAAACAGGTAGACAGGATTATTAAATTCTTGTACTCCAAGGCTGTGGCAAAGCTAACTCATAACATGCTTCCAACTCCAGCCATTCTCCCTCCTCCAAGAGCCTTCTGAGTGAGAAACAGCATCTGAATCATTGTGACATTGTTTGAGCTTTTGAACACTTTGCCCCATGTCTAATTCCCTATAAAGGTCCTAAGGCAGGTCCCTCTCCTGAAACACAGTGCCTTCTAGGTTAGAAGTTGGTCATATATGACAGCATCCCCAAAGATCTGTATTGTTGGAGAGAGTCTGTCAGGAGACTTCTTGGCTTAGGAAGTGCCCAGAACTCAGGGGCTCTTACTGGCTGCAGTAAGGTTGGACCAAGGCAATGTTATGAACACAAATCTTCTCTGATGTTACCTTCTGTTTTCCTACATGGAGGTTTAGAAATGGAAATCTCACATGACAATACAAAGGAAGGATGTTAGGTCAAAAGAGAAAAATAATAAACGAACATGAAGGAGGTAGAGGTAAGATGTTTCTTGAGTATTAGGAACTGTGGTCTGCACTAAGACTTGTCTGTTCTGTAAAAGCCCAGATTACATCCTTTGAAAAGTGGTCAGTGGTCACCTCAGATAATACCCCCTATTTCATCCAAGTTACCCTTGAACTTCTACAGCAATGTTGCTTCAGTCACCTTGGTCAGGAGTTTTCCTTAGTATCTACCTGAAACTTGTCCTTCCTCCTCATCCTCCCCTCCCACCTGCTGCTCATAGGTGCTGCCATCTTCTGCAACCTATTTCTTCACTTCTACTCTTGCCTTAAAGGCCACCTATGTCAGGTCTGTATTTTTTGACTGTAAAACATTATAGTCTCTCACACACCCTTCCTGCTCTTGACATTCATACATGATGCTGGGTTTCTTAACTACTTGGTCTGCTGTGTGAAGGCACCAGCTCACACTGACATTCCCAAAGCAGGTGACTCAAATACTGCCCACAGCATAGCTGTGGCAGTGCTCACCAACTGCCTATGTGTTGATCTGACTTAGTAGCTACAACCTGTGCTGAACAACCCAGGCAGGACTAGAGCTGGCTAGGATCTTCAAGCTGCTATCATCTCCATTAGGCTAGCACACAGTACCTTTGCTGGGCCTACAGTACACAAGGACATTATGGCTATTGAGGAAACACAGGATTATGCTGTACAAGTGCTTCTATGCTGAGTCTCAGACCCATCCAGCTGGGACACCCAGTCACTTCTAAGTAGTTACAGCTTCTTTTCCCATTTTATTCTAAAAAATGAAGGATAGGCATGGAATCTTACTGTGACTTCATGCAGCTGAGAACATATGCTGCATATGCAGACCTGGAACGTGGTTGCTCTGGTTCCCACTTGCACTCAAAGAGCTTGCAGCATTTACTGGCCTCCCCGTCAGACGAAACTGAACCCTTTTCCTAGAGCATCCCCACTCAGTTTGTGGCCAAGGCCGGTTACCTGCTATCAGAGGCTGGCTGCTGGACTGCCCAAAGTGGGCACCATGATGAAGGAAGGCACTGTAGCAGGGCGTGGACGCATCGTCTGAAAGGGCCATGTGGAAGGGCTGAAGATCAGCCTGCCCAGAGCCGACCGGCGTGGTGGGGGTGAAAGGGGTGAGAGAGGCTCCATGAGGCTCTTGCTTTATACTGAGGGGAGAGGAGAGGTTTTCTGTGGTAGGGTAGGGGATGGACACAGACAGACAAAGGGAACAGGGGAAGGAAGAGGAGGGTGGGGAAGGGAGGAGAGGAAGAACAAAATGGGTAAATGAAAATGGAGTGGTTAAAATCTACAGGGAAATTAATTTTAAAACAAAAACAAAAATAAAAAGGTTAGGAGTAGATCAGAGGAGCCAGTGCTGAGACAACAGCAGTAAATGCACCTGGGGGCTAGGCTCAGACTGCAGGGATGCCTCTGCAGGGGCAGCAGGAGATGAGGGGAATGGAGTGCCGTGGCAGATGGGAGGGATGAGATGCAGGAAAAGGAGAGGTGAGAGAGGGAACATGCAGGAGGACAGGAAAAAGCATAGGGTTGGGAAGAAGAATGCTCTGAAGCTTTTGTGCTCCCTTTCCTGTTGCTTTCTCTTGCTGGCTGAGGGCACATGAAGATGCTACATTTACACAGTTTGGCTCAAGGAATTATACCACTTTTTCTCTTCAAACTCAAGGTAACCTTCCCCAGAAGAGCAGCGCTGTTATGAGTACCTATTAAACAGGTTGCTGAGTGTAATTGTCAAAGCTTCTCAAGCCAAATTTTATAAAGGCTTTGACAAAAATGGTGTAACTGGAGTTTGGGGTGGTTAAAATAAAAATGGGACTGTGCAATTAATAGGTAGATAGATAGATCAATTAATTGATCTTGTTCACAGTGGCACACTTTGGAGATTTAACCAACTGATTGGTTGCAGAGTATAAGTTTGCCAGATAGATACCTTGACAGAGAGACATAATGGAGGAGACAAAATGTAGGGGACTTATAAAAGGTCTAATTTTCATTGTTGTTTATATTGGACTTCCATTTCTGATGTGCAGATTTGCATAGGCACAATAGATACAGCTTTGTAACTGCTCCTAACTCAGCTGCTGAGTAGGAGGTTTGGGAATTGGAGAACTCTGTGACCTAAAGCATAAGTACTCCAGAACACTCACTGTTTTTGGGACAGCAACAGTAGAATGCTGTATTTGAATACCTGAAAGCAAAGCATGGATGATGTGATCAGATCCTATCCAAATCATCTAGCAAAC